TCCCCTACCGGCCAACCAAGAGGCTGGTTGAGTGAGCGCAGGTTGGGATGCCCTGTTGGTGCACATGCACGCAGTCTGTCTCCTCCACCGAAAGATATCCCACAAACCACTGTCTGCAGCAGCCAGCACAGCAGGGCCTTCAGGGTTCTGTGAGTTAGATGAATGGATACCCAGACCCCGGCTCTTGCTCCCACCTTTCCAGCCTCTGCAGACTTCCCACCCTCATTCCACATTCAAGGCATTTTGGGGGTACCCATTGGATGCAGGAACTCCTAAACCAGTAGTCCCCCAACTAGCTGTGGTAAAGGACCGGTTTTCATTTCTAATCCATCATGGTCCAGTACTTTCATAAGAACTAGCCAAGCATGGTGGCTCACGCCTGTAATCCCAGCACTTTGAGATGCCAAGGTGAGAGGATCACCTGAGCCCAGGAGTTTGAGACCAGCCTGGGGAACATGGTGAAACCCCGTCTCTACAAAAAATACAAAAATTAGCCAGGCATGGTGGGGCGCCTGCAGTCCCAGCTACTTGGGGGCCTGGGGTGGGAGGAGCACTGAACCTGGGAGGCTGCAGTGAGTCATGATTGTACCACTGCACTCCAGCCTGGAAGACAGAGTGAGGCCTATCTCAAAAAAATAATACAGTAACATACAACTTTTAAAAACTAGAAAAATGAAATTAAAAAAATATAGAGGCCGGGCGCGGTGGCTCATGTCTGTAATCCCAGCACTTTGGAAGGCTGAGGCAGGCAGATCACAAGGTCAGGAGTTCAAGACCAGCCTGACCAACATGGTGAAACCCCATCTCTACTAAAAATACAAAAAATATTAGCCAGGCATGGTGGTGTGCACCTATAATCCCAGCTACTCAGGAGTCTGAGGCAGGAGAATTACTTGAACCCGGGAGGCAGAGGTTGCAGTGAGCTGAGATCTCACCACTGCACTCCAGCCTGGGCAACAGAGTGAGACTCCGTATCAAAAAAAAAAAAACAAAAACAGAATACAAGTCCACAGTTTATCAGATTAATTAGCCATAACATTACATTTCAATAAATATAATCCAAACAAACATATGAAAAAGGAAAAATGACAAAAAGCATGGATTGAATATGAGCAAACAGGCAATTTACACAACACAGAATCGCAACTATATTTAACAACTTTTTATTATTCCACTTTTTTTCTTTTTTTTGAGACTGAGTGTCGCTCTGTCTCCCAGGCTGGAGTGCAGTGTCACAATTTCAGTTCAGTGCATTCTCTGCCTCCCGGTTTAAGCGATTCTCGTGCCTCAGCCTCCCCAGTAGCTGACACTACAGGTGCACACCACCATGCCCAGCTAATTTTTGTATTTTTAGTAGAGACAGGGTTTCACTATGTTGGCCAGGCTGGTATCGAACCCCTAAGCCACCTCACCTGACTTCATTCCACCATCTTAACAGAAAGTGATTTCAGAAGTGATGATTCCCATCATTAGAAGTCTGCATTAGGAATCAGCAAAGTGGGCTGGGCGTGGTAGCTCACGCCTGAAATCCCAGCACTTTGTGAGGCCGAGGTGGGTGGATCACTTGAGGCCTGGAGTTCGAGACCAGCCTGGCCAATATGGTGAAACCCTGTCTCTACTAAAAATACAAAGAATTAGCCGGGCATGGTGACATACACAGCTACATGGGAGGTTGAGGTTGAAGAATTGCTTGAACTCAAGAGGTGGAGGTTGCAGCAAGTCGAGATCGCGCCACTGCACTCCAGCTTGGGCAACAAAGCCAAACTCTGTCTCAAAAAACAAAAATAGGAGTCAGCAAAGTATGGTCCACAGAATGGTTTTTATATTTTGTAATGGTTGGGGAAAAGTCAAAGAATAACAAGATTTTATGATATAAAATTATAAAATTCAAATTTCCAGGTCAATAAATGAAGTTTTACTATAATTTATTAAATTTCTGACATAGCCACACTCATTTGTTGATAACTTGACTTTGCTTTGCGCTACAAACTTCAACAACAGAGTTGCGTGAGCAGCTGCAACAGAGACAGAGGCCTCAAAGCCTAAAATAATTACTGTCCAGCCCTTTACAGAAAGTGTCCCGACTCTAGTCTACATGAACACTTTGACAGAACACCGTGAATCTGACTTCTCTCTCCAGTTATTTGTAAGATTTTCGTTTTGTATTCTGCAGGTTCAGTGGGATGTATCCAGATATACGTTTATTTTTATTTACCCTACTCTGACTTCAGTTTGGTCCTTCAATCTGGGGACTTGAAGTCTGTGGAAGTCTTTATGGAAAATCTTCAGCCACTGACTCTTTGATTATTGCTTCTTGCCTATTCTCTAAATAATTCCTCCTCTGAGACTCCCAAGGACTTCCCTTTCTTTTGCTTTGAAACAGGTATCGCTCTGTCACAAAGGCTGGAGTGCAGTGGCACAATGATAGCTCACTGCAGCCTCCAACTCCTGGGCTCAAGTGATCCTCCCACCTCAGCCTCCTGAATAGCTGGGACTACAAGCATGAGCCACCACACCCAGCTTTTTAAATTATTTATTTATTTATTTATTTGTGACGGAGTTTACCCAGGCTGGAGTGCAATGGCGCGATCTCGGCTCACCGCAACCTCCGCCTCCTGGGTTCAGGCAATTCTCCTGCCTCAGCCTCCTGAGTAGCTGGGATTACAGGCACGCACCACCATGCCCAGCTAATTTTTGGTATTTTTAGTAGAGACGGGGTTTCACCATGTTGACCAGGATGGTTTCGATCTCTTGACCTCGTGATCCACCCGCCTCGGCCTCCCAAAGTGCTGGGATTACAGGCTTGAGCCACCGCGCCTGGCCTATTTATTTATTTTTTAAGATGGGGTTTCACCATGTTGGCCAGGGTGGTCTCGAACTCCTGACCTCAGGTCATCCGCCCACCTTGGCCTCCCAAAGTGCTGGATTACAGGCATGAGCCACCTTACCCAGCCTATTTATTTATTTTTAAATTTTTTTGTAGAGGCAGGGTCTTGCTGTGTTAGCCCAGCTGGTCTCCTGGCCTCAAGTGATCTTCCTGCCTCAGCCTCCCAAAGTGCTGGGATTACAGGCATGAGCCACCACACCCAGTCTTCCAATGATTTTTAGTTACCCTTTAATATTTCCATCTTTTTGTTTCTCAGTGTTACATTATAAGTGATTTCTCAGATGTAGCTTCCAGTTCATTAATCTTTAAATTGTGCTTAGTCTGCTCTTTAGCTTATCCATTAATTTTTCCATTCCAGTGGCTATATATATATATATATTTTTTTTTTTTTTTTGGGACGGAGTTTTGCTCTTGTTACCCAGGCTGGAGTACAGTGGTGCCATCTCTGCTCACTGCAACCTCTGCCTCATGGGCGCAAGCGATCCTCCCACCTCAACCTGCAGGGTAGCTGGGACTACAGATGCAAGCACCACCATGCCCGGCTAATTTTTGTATTTTTAGTAGAAACAGGGTTTCACCATGGCGCCCAGGCTGGTCTCAAACTCCTGAACTCAAGTAATCCACCCACCTGGGCCTCCCAAAGTGCTAGGATTACAGGCGTGAGCCACACGCCTGGCCTGTTGGGTTACTTTTTAAATCTTCTGGTTCTCTCTTCATACCATCCTGTTGGCCTCTCTTCCCCTTGTAGCCCCGTTTTCTTTGCGTGTGTCTTGTGGTCTCTTAGGCAGCTGTATGATGCACACCGAGATGCCAGTCCTCTTGTGTTTGTCTCTGCCTCATCTCCCTCATGGTGGTTCTTTACTTTTATAATCTGTAGGTTTGTTTTGCTTTGTTTTTGAGACAGAGTCTCTCTCTGTCACTCAGGCTGGGGTGCAATGACACGATCTCAGTTTGCTGCAGCCTCCGCCTCCCAGGTTCAAGCGATTCTCCCAACTCAGCCTCTGGAGTAGCTGGGATTATAGGTGCACGCCACCACACCCAGCTAATTTTTGTATTTTTAGTAGAGACGGGGTTTCACCCCATCTCACCTGGGTTGGCGAGGCTGGTCTCCAGGAGGTTCACCTGCCTTGGCCTCCCAAAGTGTTAGGATTACAGGCATGAGCCACCACTTCTGGCCCAGTAATCTGTAGTTTTTATCACGAGTTCACCTTTGGGAACAGCAGGGTTTTTTGGGTTTGCTTTTGTTTTTAGAAGCTCCATGTGCCCAAGTGGGTTGAAAGTGTAACTCTGCTCAGCAAGGGGTTTTTCCAGTTGTTTTCAGCTTTTCACACCCTAGAGACAGACGATGCCCCTGCTTGAAGGGCAGACCCTGGAGTTCCTGGCTCTCTAGAGCAGCTGTTTCCACTCCCGACCCTGAACGTTTGTATCCTCACCACTTTCTCCGACTGGTCAGTGCAGATAGATTCATATCTTAGCCTTTCGAGACCGTGGAATGTTTGTTTCTTGCTCCCCAGACTATACGGTTCTTCTGTCACTTATGGGTGTAGGAGCCGGGGCGCCCAAGCCCCTCTCTGCATCTGAAACCCCCACGGGATCAGCCCAATCCCAGCTTCAGTTTCTGTCTTTGTCTTTGATACATTGGGCCATCCCTTTCTTTCAAGTTCACTTGTTTTCACTTTTTTTTTTTTCTTTTTTTGTTGAGAATGGGGTCTCGCTATATTGTCCAGGTAGGTCTCAAACTCCTGGGCTCAAGGTATCCTCCCACCTCTGCCCCTTAGTTACAGCTGGGATTACAAGTGTCAGCCACCACACCTGGCTCAAGTTCACGTAAAAAAAAAAAATATATATATATATATAGGCTGGGTGTGGTGGCTCACACCTATAATCCCAGCACTTTGGGAGGCTGAGGAAGGCAGATCATGAGGTCAGGAGTTCAAGACCAGACTGGCTGACATGGTGAAACCCCGTCTCTACTAAAAAACACCAAAATTAGCTGGGCATGGTGGCTCGTGCCTGTAATCCCAGCTACTTGGGAGAATGAGATAGGAGAATTGCTTGAACTGGACCCAGGAGGCATAGGTTGCAGTGAGCTGAGATTGCGCCACTGCACCCTAGCCGTGGCTACAGATCAAGACTCCAACTCAAAAAAAAAAAAAAAAAAAAAAAAAAGTTTATAAACGTAAGTAGCAGGAGAGGTCCAGCCACCCTCTCAATTCATCATGCCACTGGAGTGGGGGGGCACTGAATGCTGCCAGTGCCAGGGAACTCCCTACCTTCCAGGGCTCTGGAGATACCCAAGTCTTGCTCACACTGAGAAACGGTGGGCAGCTGAGTGCAGGTCTTTTCCAGGCAGCTTGAGTCAGGGAAGGTGAGGATGGGGGTGGGCGGGTGACATAACAAGCAGACCTTGAGGCCAGGTGTTTTCAGGGATAGAAGAAGTCTGGGGGCTGCTGGGTCCCCTCCATCTCCATCCTGGCGCCTCCTGGGGAAGGGGCACAGCCTGGGTCCTGCTGGTATCTGGGGCCCGGGGGCAACAGATACTCCCTCCTGAAGCCTCAGTGGCGGGAGAGCATCATCACAAACTCTGCGGGAGAGAAGGGCAGGGCTTGGGCCGGTCCACGTCAGGGATCCCAGGAGGTGCTGGGCTCAGCCTGGGCCCTGGGAGGATGGGAGGCTTTTCCAGGAAGGAGACTCACCATCAAAGTCTACGGTGCCATCCCCATTGAGGTCCACTTCTCGGAGCATCTCGTCCAGCTCAGGACCCGCCAGTGGCTCCCCAAGCAGAGACGGCACTGCCTCCCGAAGCTCTGGCACGGTAATTCGTCCATCCCTGTCCCTGTCAAACTAGGGTCCCGGCAAGGCTCAGCCCCTCCCACCCAAAGCTGCCTCAGCCTGCAGACAGCTCCACTCTTACCACTGCCTGTACCTAGATGCTCCCCTGCCCACCGTCTCCACCCACGCACACCTTCCCCAACCTCCCACGCCAAGGTGGTTTGCCGCCTGGTCCAGGAAGTCCCCCTGGATGGATCCCCTAGCTGGGAGTGAGCTGAACCCTCTCTGACCCATTGCTGGGCCCCAGTCCCACCGCCTGCAGGGCTCTGGGCCTTCCTGAGGCTGAGACCTGAGAGGCCAGTAAGGATGCCACCCAGCCCTGCCCCCCTCTGCCCACCACAGCACGCTCTCACCTCTCGGAAGGCGATGCGCAGCTCCCGCACCCCCAGCATGTGCGCCGTCTCCTCCCTTAGCTTTGGGCCTATCAGTTCCACAAACTCCTCAAAGTCCACACGGCCACCCACTGCGGACCCAGGCAGAGTGTCACAATGGTGAGGGCATGAGGGCTGAAGCCCAAGAAGGGACACCCCACAGACCAGGCACCCCCACCCCCAGGCTCTGCACCTAGGAAGAAACAACCATGGTGATGCCTGCAACAGAGAGGAGGCTGGAACCCCCATCCTCGGCTGCTGGGGTGCCGGGGCTGCTTCTGCTCTTAGCAAAGAACCCGAGTGTGCGAGGAAGAGACCAGGCTTTGGACCAGATAGTCCCGGGTTCAAATCTTGACCCCACTGCTGTGTGTGGCACTGGCTGACTTACCCTCCCTTCCTCATCCTAGGGGCAGGGTGGGGAGCCTACTCTATGGGGGTGCTGCTGGGGTTCAGGTTCACAGCCATGAAGTGCTGGAGCCCAGTGGGCAGCAATCAGTGCCACTTCCAGACACACCCATGTATTCTGTGCCTCAGTTCTAAGATGCCATCAGTCACACAAACACCCATGGTCATGCAACAGCTTTGCCACGACACCAGATGTCCACATCAGCTATAAATCACATCCCGGTTTTGGAAATTGTATGGAGAAAATGCAGGAGTCCTGGAATGAAGTGAATCTGAGCTTTGCCTGAGGACAAACCAGCGAAAGGTAACCGCACCGTGCCTGCCATCAGACACCTAGTCGCAAGGCGCGGCTGGGGTCCTCTCCTGCCAGGGCAACCCCGATTCAGGCAGCTGCCACCAGGGCACAGGAATGGGGCAGAGTCACAGAAAGAGAGCGAAAGAGAGAGGGTGCCAGGTGACTAGTGTCAGCAGAGAGCATTTTATCACTGAGTCGGGGTCCCTAGGCCAGCGAGGCAGGAAGGGCTCAGGTGGAAGGAGTGAATGTGCTCACAGGCCACGACAACAGATATCCCCAGTGGGGTCCTCAACCTGAGCCCCAAGGGGCCCTCCTGGGTCTCTAGGGCGGCCTTCCTGGCCTGTCTTCCCACACAAGAGAGGCAGGAGCTTGGACCCAGTGCCCCCACCTGGAAACCATCACTCTCCCTCACTCCCACCGCCACCCTGATGGCCTCCCAAGGGCCACCTCCTGCCAGCCCCTCATGATCCCTCTGAACCATGCAGCCCAGAGAAGCCCAGGCTGCTGGGTGGGCGGGGCCCGGCACTGACTGCGCATCTTGATGTGCTGGGAGACCTCCAGGAGCTCCATCTCAGTGGGCATGTAGCCCAGGGTCCGCATGCAGTCGCCCAGCTCCCGGTGGCTGATGTAGCCGTCACGGTCAGTGTCAAACTCCTCAAAGGCGGCCTGAAGCTCTGTGGGGGAGGGAGGTCAGGCACAGGTGGCCAGGCTCAGGGACAGCTCCTGCCCCTGCCAGCAGCAAGAGCCACTCACCGTCTAGCTCCTCTGGGCCCAGCTCTCGGTCCTGCACGGGGAGAGTCTGCCATGTCCCCAGGGCCAGCCATGGCTCTGTCAACCTTCCTCCTCCATCCCCTGCTCATGCTGGCCTGGGCAGGGCCAGCCACACCAGGGCAGGGAAAGGACGCTGAAGCCTCGTGTGTCCCAGGAGCAGCAAGCTCCCTTTCGCGCTCCTGGGGCCTGGAGCTCCCACAGAGCCCTGGTGCGAGTTCTGGCTCTGCCCACGCCCACACCGGCCAGAGACCCACCCTTCCCCAAACCACAACAACACAATCCCACAGCCCAGGTTCAGTCTGAGGCAGAAGAGACAGAGGGCCTCTCAGGGGCAGGGTAGGCTGAACCCCAGGAGTGTGTCTCCAGCCCCACCCCCAGGACCCCCAGGCCCACCCAGGTCCCACCTAACCTTCCCGAAGACTCGATTGAGCAGGGGCCCGTATGTCCTCTGAGCAGCGTCGTGCCGGGAGTCAGGACGATGTCGGTGGGACTGGCGCGAAGAGGCCGGCCCAGGGGATGCAGGGGGTACCCCTGCCAGCCCCTCTCCAGTCCTGGGAGGGTTCTTGCTGTTCCCGGGGGCCTCGGGGCCTGCCTGGTCCCCAGAGCTGCCAGTGCGCTTCCGGGACCCTCGGAGTCCCCTCTCCTTCTTGCTCCTCTTCCTGGTCATCGGGGGCTCCTCCGCATCATTCTTGGGAGTCACAGGGGTCTTCTGAGGGCCAGTGGCTGGGTCTGGGCCATGCTGCCCGCTCACCTGCTCTGTGGCCATGGGGGAGGGATGACAGGGCTCAGAGACACAGCACTCCTGGGCACCCTTGGCTCTCAGGACTCATAAAGCTGCTTATGCACCCCCACTCTTAGAGCTGGGAGCCTAGGATCGGGCTCTGAGGGGGATTAGGGTAAGTGAGGCAGGCAGCCCCGGCCCTAATCCCAGTGCTCTGCTCCAGAGCTGGCCAGGGCAGAGCCAGATGGGTCCAGAGAACTGTACTCGGTCAGAAGCAAAGGGCACCAGGACATGGTGGCTGTCATGAGCCTCAGATGCCAGACCTGCTATTTATTAGTCAGGAGATCCAGCAAAGTCCCCTCCCAACCTCAGTTTCCCCATCTATAAAATGTGGGGAATAAAGCCAGGGTACAGAGGACTCAGCCCAGCTGTGTGACATGGGTGGAGGCCTTTGTTAGACAGAGGACCAGGGAAGACACTTTAGGCGGGAGGAGGCATTTGGACAATGGCTGGGAGGTGGGAAGGGACAAGCAAGTGGCCCACTGGGGCCCCCCCATGGGTGACATTCTGCCCGGAGCAGAGGGCATGTGAAATGGAGGAAGAGGCCAGATCACAGACGCCTCGAATGCTGGGTTGAGTGGCACAGGGGGTGATGTGGGAGGAGGTGGGCCGGAGGGGCCTGGGGGAGGAGGGTCTGACTGTCCAGGCCCGTCAGGGCTGGGGGAGGGGGTCTGGCTGATCACTTGGCCCTACTGGGCCAGGGTTAGGGTTTCCCGGCAAGCAGCCCTATGAATGATTGATGTCCTCTCAGCTTGGGTTTCCTGCCCACCTGCCTTAGCGCCGCCAGGCGCCACACAGCAGGCCCCGGTGAGGGCCAGGGAGACAGCTGGAGCACTGGGCAGGCAGGCACGCCCTGCTCCTTCCGCCCATCGGCCTGAGCCTCCCAGGTAAGCCAGGCCTCACAGGTCAGGGCCAGGGGCTGGGGGTGCCTGGGGCTCTGATCCAATAGGGAACAGACATAGCAGAGCGGGGTAAGACGGAGGAGGAACCCTGCGGGTACTGAGGCCACCAGACTAAAGACCAAGTGGCTAGAGCCATGGGCCTGGGGGCATCCCTTCCCTCCCCGGACTGCACCACCACCTGGGCTCTCAGGGCCCTCTGCCAGCAGGGGGGGCAAGGTGGTGCTGCAGGCCTCTTGCATCCCAGGTCTGGGTGCCCCCCTCTTGCATCCCAGGTCTGGGTGCCCTCACCGTCCTCCCACTGCAGAGCCCTCGCCTTCTCTGTTTAGCAGCTCCCGGAGACAAACAGGGCTCCCCTCCTGCCTGAGCTGTGGGAAGCAGGAGAGGGCCATAGGGGGCGGAAGACGCTGGAGAGGCATCGGGGCTCCCAGGATGGCCCTCCTGGCCCCAGGCTATCGGGGTCCTGAGACTCATCCTGAGACCCATGAGTGACACTCACTGGAGGGGAGGGGGTTCCCACTGCCGCAGACTCCCTACCTTTGGGTCCCCTGGGCCGGTGGGAACGAGAGCCCTCCCTTCTTGAAATCCTAAACACTCAAACCCCACGAGAGCAGGCATAAAGGGGCCCTGTGATGAGCAGACCAAGTGGTCTTCAAACTGTGTGTCCTGGAACCCTAGAGGGGTACTCTTCCCCGGCATAATTTGAGCACACCCTTTTAGTTCATATAGGAGTTTTACTAAAATATTTAAAGACAAAATCCCATACCTTTAACAATCTTTGGAAGCCTCTGGGTTAGTCTACCCAGACACATTGGGATTCCACATGGCAGGAGATTAAGTCTAGCTGGGCACGATGGCTCAAGCCTGTAATCTCAACACTTTAGGAGGCCAAGGTAGAAGGATTGCTTGAGCTCAAGAGTTTAAAACCAGCCTGGGCAACATAGCAAGAACTTGTCTCTGCTAAAAATTTAAAAAGTTGGCTGGCCGGCCACGGTGGCTCACACCTGTAATCCAAGCACTTTGGAGGCCAAGGCAGGTGGATCACCTGAGGTCAGGACTTCAAGACCAGACTTACCAACATGGTGAAACCCTGTCTTTATGAAAAAAAAAAAAAAAAAAAAAGTTGGCTGGGTGCGGTGGCTCACGCTGTAATCCCAGCGCTGTAATCTCAGGGAAGGCCGAAGGAAGCAGACCATGAGGTCAAGAGATCGAGACCATCATGGCCAATATGATGTAACCCCATCTCTACTAAAAATACAAAAATTTGCTGGGTGTGGTGGCACGTGCCTGTAGTCCCAAATACTTGGGAGGCTGAGGCAGGAGAATCGCTTGGCTTGAACCCAGGAGGCAGAGGTTGCATTGAGCTGAGATCATGCCACTGCACTCCAGCCTGGTGACAGAGGGAGACTCCAACTCAAAAAAAAAAAAAAAAAAAAAAAAAAAAAAAAAAGAAAGAAATAGCCAGGCCTTGTGGCACACATCGATAGTCTCAGCTACTTGGAAGGCTGAGGCATAGGAATCACTTGAACCCAGCACATGGAGGTTATAGTGAGCCGAGATCACACCACTGTACTCTAGCCTGGGTAACAGAGTGAGACTCCATCTAAAAGAAAAAAAAATAGTAATGGGTGCTATTTTTTTTTTTTTTTTTTTTTTTTTTTTTGAGATAGGGTTTCACCTCTGTTACCCAGGCTGGAGTGCAGTGGCATGATCCCGGCTCACCACAACCTCTGCCTCCTGGGCTCAAGCGATTCTCCTTCCTCTGCCTCCCGCGTAGCTAGGATTATAGGCATCTGCCACCACACCCGGCTAATTTTTGTACATTTAGTAGAGATGGGGTTTCACCATGTCGGCCAGGCTGGTCTCGAACTCCTGACCTTATGATCCACCCACCTTGGCTTCCCAAAGTACTGGGATTACAGGCATGAGCCACCACGCCCAGCCGTGGGTGCTATTTTTAAAAGTAGTGGCTGCACGTCTGTAGTCCCAGCTACTAGGGAGGCTGAGGTGGGAGGGTCGCTGGAGCCCTGGAGGTGGAGGCTGCAGGGATAGTGCCACTGCACTCTATTCTGGGCAATAGAGTAAGGCCCTGTCTCAAAGAAAAAAGTCTGGGTTGAGTCCTGCCTTCTCCCTTCCTACCTTCACTGATTCTCTGAACCTCCCTCTCCTCGCCTGTAACGTAGATTGTGTGAGGACTCCCTGAGATCATCCATTTCAAGCCCTTGGCATAGGCTAACTACCCAAAAGGCAATGACAACGGCACAGGGAGGGCTGTGACTTGCCTGGAGATGCCCTGCACCATCTCTCCCATTCTCGGTCATTCACGCCGTTATTGATTCACCAGGCACCCACTCCGTGTCCAGCAGGGCTCTGGGGACCCCAGATGGACACTGCTATGGAAGCCGACATGGGTGCCTCCACCGGCCACAGGCCCCGAATGGAGCTGGACGACGAGGACTCCTACCCCCAGGGTGGTTGGGACACAGTCTTCCTGGTGGCTCTACTGCTCCTTGGGCTGCCAGCCAATGGGCTGATGGCATGGCTGGCCGGCTCCCAGGCCCGGCATGGAGCGGGCACACGTCTGGCGCTGCTCCTGCTCAGCCTGGCCCTCTCTGACTTCTTGTTCCTGGTGGCAGCGGCCTTTCAGATCCTGGAGATCCAGCATGGAGGCCACTGGCCACTGGGGACAGCTGCCTGCCGCTTCTACTACTTCCTGTGGGGCGTATCGTACACCTCTGGCCTCTTCCTGCTGGCCGCCCTCAGCCTGGACCGCTGCCTGCTGGCGCTGTGCCCACATTGGTACCCTAGGCACCGCCCTGCCCGCTTGCCCCTCTGGGTCTGTGCCGGGGTCTGGGTGCTGGCCACGCTCTTCAGCGTACCCTGGCTGGTCTTCCCCGAGGCCACAGTCTGGTGGTACGACCTAGTCATTTGTCTGGACTTCTGGGACAGTGAGGAGCTGCCACTGCGGATGCTGGAGGTCCTGGGGGGCTTCCTGCCTTTCCTCCTGCTGCTGGTCTGCCACGTGCTCACCCAGGCCTCGGCCTGTCACACCTGCTGCCGCCAACCGCAGCCCACAGCCTGCCGGGGCTTCGCCCGTGTGGCCAGGACCATTCTGTCAGCCTACGTGGTCCTGCGGCTGCCCTACCAGCTGGCCCAGCTGCTCTATCTGGCTTTCCTATGGGACATCTACCCTGGCTACCTGCTCTGGGAGGCCCTGGTCTACTCCGATTACCTGATCCTGCTTAACAGCTGCCTCAGCCCCTTCCTCTGCCTCATGGCCAGCGCTGACCTCCAGGCCCTGCTGCGCTCCGTGCTCTCGTCCTTCGCGGCAGCTCTCTGCGAGGAACGGCCGGGCAGCTTCACACCGGCTGAGCCACAGACCCAGCTGGACTCTGAGGGCCCGGCTCTGCCAGGGCCGACAGTGGAGGCCCAGCCACAGATGGATCTTGTGGCCCAGCCTCAGGTGAACCCCACAGCCCAGCCACGATTGGATCCCACAGCCCAGGCACAGCTGAATCCCACAGCCCAGCCACGATCAGATCCTACAGCCCAGCCACCATCAGCTCCCACAGCCCAGCCACAGCTGAACCCCACGGTCCAGCCACAATCAGATCCCACAGCCCAGCCACAATCAGATCCCACAGCCCAGGCACAGCTGAACCCCACAGCCCAGCCACAGTCAGATTCTGTGACCCAGCCACAGTCAGACACTGAGGCCCAGACCCCTGGACCCGCTGCCAGTTCTGTGCCCTGTCCCTGTGACGAAGCCTCCCCAGCCCCACCCTCCCATCCCACCCTAGGGGGCCTGGAGAACCCAGCCCCTCCTCCTGCTTCTGAAGGAGAAATCCCCAGTGGCACCCCACCAGAGGGGGCCCCAGGCACAGGCCCCACGTGAGGGTCCAGAAATGCCCAGGCCCGCCAGAGCAGTGAAAGAGCCCCAGGGAGACAGAGGAACCAGCCAGTCAGACAAGTGGGAAGCACAGCCTGTCCTTGAAAACCCCTCAGGGCCTGGAGGGAGGACTTGAGGGGAAATGAACCAGCCAAAAGTCTCAGGCAGTTCCATGTCAGCGTCCCCTGCTCTCAGCCACCAGCCCCTTCTGTGGTTGCCAACACACACACAGTTGCCCGACAGCCCCCGAACCACAGCTAATGGCGTCTTGTGGGGTTCTGTCCCTCAACACCCCAGACCCCACTGACAGTTCTCCACTGGGCCTCAGTCGTGCTGGAGGAAGACAGCAGGGGGCACTTTCCTGGGCTTGACCTGACCTCCCTTTCATCCTTCCCTCCCTCTCCTCCTCCGGGTCTCATCCACCAGCCTGGACACAAGGACGCAAAACAAAAAAGTCTCTGCAGAGAAGGGGGTCTCCTGGGAGCCACCAGCCCCAAGCAGGAGCCCGAGGCCCTGGTGACCCACAAGCTGCCTGGCATGGCCAAGCCTGCTCCAGCAGTCCCCTGCCCCCAACAGTCACTGAGGCTAGGGCAGGGACTCCCTCAGCAAGGCGCCAGGAGAAGAGGCCAGAGCTGCTTAGCCTGGATTCAAATCCAGCTCTGCCATGTCCCAGCTGCGCGACTCTGGAGGAGCGACTTCACCTTCCGAGCTCCCGTGTCATTGGCCATTGTGAGGATGAAATGAGAAAGTGTGTAAGGCACCCAAGAGCCTGGCGCATGGAGGGGCTGGGTGAA